AGTAAACCTGAAGGTTTTTGATGTTCTGTCTTTACTCTAGAACAAATCAAGCATTTTTCTCACCTAAGTAGCAATTTATGCTTTCATGTTTGGCTACAAATATTGTAGTTTTAAATCTAAATATAGTTTGTCAGAGCCTGGATGTACGAAATATATGGACTTGTGGGCTTCTTCTAAGACCAAGTCCCTGACTCCACCGAACTTTGGCGTCCAAATTTGGTTCATAAAGTGTCGTGTTCCATCATATTTTTGTATAATTTGCTTTTCCATTCCTCTCAAAGCTTCATTCTTGATGTTTTCTTCTTTTAGAGCCTCAAGTTAAGCTTCTCTAATATGTGCGGTAAAGTTAGAATGGATAGTTATGGTTAATGCTTGTACCTGATGGGTTTAATATATTCTTTCCGGCTCAAGGCATCTGCTACCACGTTTGCCTTTCCGGAATGATAATGAATCTCACATTCGTAGTCATTCAACAATTCGACCCATCTTTGTTGTCTCATATTAAGATCTTTTTGGTTGAAGATGTGTTGGAGACTCTTGTGGTCGGTAAAAATAGTACACTTAGTACCGTATAAGTAATGTCTCCATTTTTTTTCTCCAAAAACAACAACTCCCAATTCAAGATCATGGGTAGTGTAATTATTCTCACGCACCTTAAGTTGTCGTGATGCATAGGCGATAACTTTTCCTCTTTGCATCAACATATCCCAATCCTTGATTTGATATGTCATAGTATACGACGAAATCACCTGTCCCATCTGCAAGGGATAGGATTAGTGCACTTCACAACGTTTGCTTCTGTTTCTGAAAAGCAGCTTCTTATTTGTCTTCCTAGTTGAACTTCGTATCCTTCTGGGTTAGTGTTGGCTATTTTGGAGAAATTCTCTATGAATCTACGGTAATAGCCAGCAAGTCCTAGGAATTGGCGCACCTTTGTTAGCGTCTTTAGTGATTCCCAATTCTTAATTGCTCCAATCTTGGAGGATTTGACATGAATGCCTTCCTTGCTAACTACATGACCTAGAATTTGTACTTCTCTAATCCAAAACTCACATTTGACGTACAACTTTTCTTTTCTTAGTAGCTCCAAGATTATTTGCAACTGTTTACCGTGCTCTTCCTTGGTTTGTGAATATATCAATATATCATCGATAACTACTAGCAAAAATTTATCCAAGTACGGTTTGCAAACACTATTCATGAGGTCCATGAAAATTGTTGGGGAGGTGGCCAATCCAAAAGTATAACTAGGAACTCTTAATGACCATATCAAGTCCTAAATGTTGTTTTCGGAACATCATCTTCTTGTACTCCGAGTTGATGGTATCCTGATCTGAGATCTATCTTGAATCTTCTAAAATCTTCAAGTGTTTTAGTCTATCAACCATCGTATCCACGTTTAGTTGTGCATCAGCCTGATCATAAATAAACATAGGTGATCAGTCTACGTTTAGTTGTGGTTCGGCCCATGTACGATAAAACTCGACTAAGTAGTTTGACCTAAAACCTTGCATTGAATTCTTATCGACGGTTTGGGTTTTCTATATTTTTGGTTTATACATGTGTTCTCATCGCCGGACTGAGTTTATACATAACTCTATATCTTTGTGTTTTTTGTATTAACGAGTATTATTAATTATTATTTGTTACCTTAGGTCTAGTTGATAAGGCACCGGCCAGTCAGGACAGTCGGTGGGCAGGATCATTTTAGCATATAGCCGTTCTGAAATCCAGCAACCCAAATCGACATGTCTCTCCTTGTCACCGCTCCCGTAAGTAGTCCTTTAGTAGTATAATTACTAATACTTTTTTATTTGTAGGTTAAGGGTTATGCCTAAACCTAACAGAGTAATCCCTAAACTACAGTAGTTCTTTCCTAAGAAAATACTAATTCACTATAGTTAATAGCTCTGATACCAATCTGTCACACCCCGGCCGTCGGCGGAAACACCGGGCAGTGTAACGTCAGTTCTTGTATCATAATTATCAACTTCCTGAAAACACATGCAATTTAAAATACGTCAACATAATGTTGGTGAGTTCACAGGTTTTGACTCCATATTAAAAATAATACATTTTTCCAAGTTTCAAAAGTATAGTTTTGAAAGTATAATTTTGACTCTCCAATGTTTACTATATATATATATATATATATATATATATATATATATATATATATATATATATATATATATATATCCTAGGTATAAAAGTTTACTTACCAAATAAGTATATACCTATAAGTCTCATATACTATGAATATAAGTTTTTGTAATTCCATACAAATGAGAGTTGCTACGTATAAATCTTATTTCAATTCTATACAAGTAAAACCACTACGTATAAATTTATTTCAATTCTATACGAGTATGTGTATTAGGTATAATTATCTACTTAATATACAAGTAATACCTAGGGTATAAGTAGGGGAAACTTATACTTAACATTAATACTTGTATAACGACAAAGTATAATGCTTCTAAAAACTTGCTACCATGAGTTTGTAACCGCTGCTTGACAACAAAACCTCTGACAAAACAATACACTCATGATTTACCATGAGAAACAATACACTCATGATTTACCATGAGAAACAACACTGTATGCTTCATTGATGCCAGAATAAAAATAAAAGGAACACATCGTCACTCGCTTGTCTTGGGTTGTAATCAACCACGAGTGGGGTCATCAACCCGTATCTTATTCATACACGACTTCCTCGCTCACACGGGATTAACGGTTACAGGTGAGAGGACTTCCACTAAGATTCCCAATCTTAGTTGATGAATGAGGTAGCTCATGTAGACTTTGACGGCTTCCTATAGCTCTAACAACAAAAGAATTTCCATGTCTAAAACCCTAAGTCACTAGACTATGCTTTTAAACATTACTCCTAACTTCATAACATTTAGGCAGTATAACAGTTATAACTTGAAGTAAAAAAACCAGGTTTTATCTTAACCTAAAACCAATAATAACAACATATAACGTTTCTAGTTTTATCTTGACATAAAACTAACAATAACAACATATCCAATTTTATCTTGACATAAAACTAATAATAACAACATATAACATATATAGTTTTATCTTGACATAAAACTAATAATAACAACATATAACATATCTAGTTTTATCTAGACATAAAACTATTAATTGCAGCATACTATATAATTTAACATATAAAACTTCCGAATATAACTTCTGAACTATATTGCACACAAAATATATATAGAATCCTAAGTATAACTCAAGATCTACATTAACATACTACTATAACAATAACATGTTAACAACGTTACGATACTTGTATATTTTCAGAAACGAAATAACTATATCCCGGTTATTATAACTATCTACGTTGATATCATATAAACATAATGATAACGTATATATAATATTTAGCATGTGTTTTCCCCTTAAAATATTAGAAAGCGGGGCCGTGAAACTGACCTTAGTAGCATGATTTTTATGATATCTAAGCCAAACAGTCAGCGTGCGAGTTTGTCAGGGCTCGGGATGCAAGAGAGCTTCAACAAGTGAGAGAGGAAGAAAGGAAATGGTGTACGGAAGTGAATGGGTCGAAGCCTCTATTTATAGTAAGATTTGACGACACTCACGTCGTGAGTGTCATAAGACTCAGGTCGTGAATTGGATCTTATCCTCTCACAGCTTCTAGATTTATGATAGAATGCCGTGAGCGTCATAAAACTCACGCCCCTCTCGCAGCTTCTAGATTCCGAATTATGACAGAATGACTCCTCACGTCGTGAGTGTCATAAAACTCACTTCGTGAATTGGATCTTATCCTCTCGCAGCTTCTAGATTTATGATAGAATGTCGTGAGCGTCATAAAACTAACGTCGTGAATTAGCTAGTTTAGGGTTTTTAAGAGCTAAATCTTCGAAATGCCATAACTTTTGCATACGAACTCTGTTTTTGACGTTATTTATATGCACGTGTAGGTATTTATGAGTACTACAATTCTATTTGAGACTTAATTAGATAGTTCTAAGCCTATTTTAAATTTCTCTTATTATAGAGATTTATATGTTCGGTTATCATAACTTCTTCATACGAAGTCAGATTCAGACGTTCTCTATATTTTTGGAATCGTATGGACGTATACTTTGAGTTGTATCATAAAGAAAGTTCATATTTGTATTAGAATTTATCATGAACTACATAATATTCTTACCACATTACTAGATTAACATAATCACATTACATGATTGGCATAATCACATGTGATTGTTATTGACCTAATTTTGATGGGTGTTACAGTGTAGTACCTCTAATGGATCACAAACACCAAGAGAAAATGACGAGTCAAGAGAGAGAAAGAGAGAGAGAGAGAGAGAGAGAGAGAGAGAGGAGAGGTAGGAAACCGACTCTTGAAGATTCTAGGATCAAGTCGTCGATTTTCCTAAGCCAAGGGGTCTTTATATTGGTGTATGGATTAGGGTTTCACTCCTTATCCTTATCTGATTACTTGTCCACCAAGCAGTCAAAAAGATAACCCTGGAAACCTTATTATCGATAAATTATAGGGCCTTATCTCCTTTACTTCGTCCACCCTATCCATAGGGCATCCATTGCCCTACTTTGCAACTATCACATAATTACAATTCAGCCCCCTTAGTTTAGTTAACTTCTTTTAATCACAAAATTAATTCTTAATTAATTATTGACCAATGTCAACTAAATAAATATGATTTCTCTTTTAATATATTATTCTTATAATATATTAATAAACCATAATAACCTCTTTCTCTATCATTTCTCCAGTCAAGTTGCTTTGGTGAAGGTAACCCAAAAGGACCATCCACAACCAGGTCAAGTACTTACCAAATATGGTTACGAGCTTAGACGCTAATCTAACAAAAAGCTGTGTCGCAAACATCAATCTTTACCTGCAGAATCTTGTGGAAACTTGTGACTCGTTGCATACAGTCTAGGTGCAACAACATTTGGCTGAAAAACTGAAACCAGTGTTTTCCATGCTCAATCGTATGGTCGGTATTTCGGGATCTGGTACTCTTCCAAAACAAGGGGAGAAGCTAAGAAGCCAAATGATGAAGAACCTAAGAAAACAGTTGGTGAATCTGGTGAGTTGGAACACAAACCACATCCAAAGTCAAAACATCCGAAGGGTAATGAAGCTTCTGGATCGAAAGGAAAGGATAAGATTGTTCATGATAATGATAAGGAAGAAGAAGACTTATCAGAAGAAGCTCAACTTAAAAGAAAATCTATTGATAAAGATATTAAGGAGTATCTGCATATTGCTATAGAAGCTTAAGCTCAGGAATGAGAGGCTCGTGAAGCACATGTCAAAAGCCCTCTTCCCTCTCTGGTCCATCGAGCGGATTCTGAATGAGGCAGTTAATAATCTGAACGTTTATTGGTTGGAACCAGATGCTTTATTTAAATTGGAAAATAGTTTGGAGTCTCATCTTGACTTTTCGACCACTCTGAAGGCATTCATGTTTCGTTGCTATGAAAAGATTGAGAAAGATCCTAATTCGGATAACGATGTTAATCACTCACTATTCTCATTCTATCTTAAATATGGAAAGCCACAGTATCAAACTTGGAGTTCGAAGAAGATTGTAGTTGTGAAGGTCTTTGGACCTGTTAAGACCGAAAGCTTTATAAATGTGATATTTAAAGTTGTTCAAGGAGCTGGGAGTTCTGTTTTTGAATTCTCACTTGCTAATCTACCATGCCTTAATCCGTATGATAGGATTTCCTTGTTCAATCGTTTGTCAAAAGATGAATAGAAATTTGAACCCATTGTGGCACATCTAAAATGGATGTTGGTCTCTTACATCCATGAAGTTGGGAAGATGGATGTGGAAATTGCAGTTGTACTCAAAAAGAAACCTATTATGCAACCAAAAGAAGCTCCGAGTGATATTATCAAGATGAAACTACAATGAATTCAAAAGGACAACCAAATTTGGGCATTTCAACAAAGTGCTAGAGATGGTACGAATGTTCAGAGGTGCTGGTTTTCCTTACCAGACAAGCATCTTTATTCCACCTCTGGTCTGAACTACGTTTTGGGGATTACCGAAAAGAACAAAGCGAATAATGATGCGGATAAGAAGTGCTTCGCAGATATGATCAAATGGTACATTCAATCAATACTTTACTTGGTCAGATGCCGAAACTTTTCATGGTTCAGAATTGCCCACAACAATGAAGAATTTCTTTCCTGATTTGGCATAAAGGGGAGATTTTTGGGTTATTTATTGTGTTATGTCAAATTTATTATGCATGTATTTAGCCTTTATTGTTATCGGATTGGGCCTGTCCATCCGCATTTATGCAGCTAGGGTTAGGCTATGAATAATGCATGCATGTATCATGTTAGGGCCAATGATTATGTAGCTCTATGTTGTCTTTACAGAGAAGTTCTTATCAAACTCTTCTAAGGCATTTTTTATAAATCATTTGACACCTTTTTGATCAATTGTTCTTCTATTTCATTCTTTTTTTTTGTTAAAGAATCTATCGATCTTAAATTTATTATTTCAACATAGCTATAAGTCCTGAACATTCACATTTCTCACAATTTGAACTATGAAAAGGGAATAGGTAATCATATTGAAAATTTGAGAACGTAATTATCACAACTACTAATCATAATGATATTTATCAAATCTTTAAAATCTACTAGCTAAAGTGTTTCCTCATAATCATTTTCATGAATTAGAGCGAAACCTCGACCACCTAGATTTTATTATGTATGCATTCCTATCATGTGAATTTATCAATTCCAACCTACAATCATAAGATAAGGTTGAGGAAAAAACCAAAATTAGTTTTAGGTTTTTCTTTCATGGACTAAACTTTTCTCATTCTTAATCTCCTACCTTCTGGAAACACAAGGGCCTACCAATGCTTCCATGTTCTTAAGCAGCCCACTTCCATTGACCATTGTATTTTGCAGTCACATGAGAACCATAGAACTCATAAGCATTGCCCACTCAATAGGAAGATCCACAGAAACAAGAATGTGTCAACTGCACATGATAGGTTATCAACCTCAAGTCGTGTTCTAGTGGTAACTAAAAGGTTTATTCTTGATTGACTCCTGAAACTCTTCAAGATCAATAAGACTCCTACTAAATTCTTGACATATAAGTTTCTCTCTAAAGGAACAATCATTGAAAAGAAAAAACAAATATTCAAAATTTAGTGTGGATTCTCAACAAGAAAACACTTCATGTAATTGGTCTTAGTTTTTTCTTTGTTTCAACCAAAAGAACACAACTACCAATTCCCAATGTGCTAGAGTAAGAAAACATTACTACTCCACATTTCATGAGGTGTTGTAAACCTAATTAGTAGAAAATAAGATTCAAGATGCAATTTGTAGTTTCTAGAGTATGACTCTAAAACTTGATTGGAAAAAGAAGTATGACTCATCTCTTAATTAAATAAATTCAACAATATTTGATTCGTCTTCTTAGCCAAACAAATGCACTATGATGTCATTAGAGGATCAATTGTGACATGGTTCCATAATCATTACGATGATCATAAAAAATGATACTAAAGTAGTCTCCTTTCCTTTCAGATTGGAAAAACCTTTATCTTTCTGCCTAAAAGATTCTTTGTATTTGTTCTACTATTTTTTGAAACTTTTCAAAGAATTAGAATTACACTTAATCTTATAAGCAGAACAATATTTACAGAACCATCAGCAAATCATGACGAATAGACTTATCGTCCTTTGTGGTGGATCTGACTAGTGCATATCAATATGTACTAGATCCATTTGTCCTTCACTTTGACTAACATAAACATGTGATCAACGAATTATTCTTACTCTTCCAACGATCAAGATTCTCATACATCACACAATTCGAATTGTATGACTCCAAGTTTCTATCCAACTGAAACTTGGGTGATGATAATTACTTTTCACCTGGTTGATTATGACATTTCCACAAACGACATAATTTATGAATCAAATCCATATTTAACATTGCTAATAATATAAATATAACCACCAATTCTCATAAATGTCATTGTAAGGAAACATAAAGTAAATCAAAATTTCACTTTATTGATAATGAGCGGAAAATTTTTGTCCTTACAATAAAATTACATGAAAACTATGTTTCTAGATATTTCCTATGTAGTCTATCATAACTCCTAAGCAATAGCTTAAGAATCTGATCATCGAACCTTGTGACTGAAATCCATCTCGAACGATCAGACTCAACTTACTCTTCTTAAGCTTCCTTATTTCTCTTAGATGCTGCAAAAAACATCAAAATCTGACTATCACATCGTGTATTAAGAATCTATGAATAGGAACTTAATGGAGTAGAGTTAGATAGTGGATGTACCTAAAGTAGAGTCATATGACTTGACTTTACCATCTCTGAGATTTATCAGGTATTTTGGGCAGCTTCGTATCCAATACCCTTTAGTTGGCAATAGATACATATGGACTTTTCAAAAATAGCACATGGGACTATCTCAGGATTAGCCTTTCTCGTTACCATATGGTCAAACGGTTTGACCTTGGCCGATCCATTTCCATTGGGAAAATAAACCTTTTCTTGACTACCAATACTATCATTGTCAATGTCCGTGGAAATTTGGGAGACAGATCCTTCAAACTTATTTGCTTGACTTGTGCTCTTAAGCATTTCTACTTTAGCAACAATCAACATATATGTTACATCAATTAGGGTTACATCGTGGTCCCTCATATAGTAGTCTTTAATGAACTAACTATACGATTCAGGATACAAAACTAGAACCAAGTCCATGGCCAGCTCCCTTGGAAAAACGACACCCAACATCCGCTATCTGTTGATGTGCGATATTATTTTCATAACATGTGCACATATAGACTTTCCATCTGGATGTTTACATGCCAATAGGGCATGAGTAGTTTTGTACTTTTCAACTTGAAGAAGACATGACTTAGGGAGAGTCACTGAGGAGGTGGATGAAGAGTTGGAGAACCATGATTTCCAGTTCCACCATTTCTTGAAGAAGGGAACATTCGTTCACCTTGATCAATATGTGGAAGATCATCCTCAGATAGAGAAGGAAAAACATTTCCAGAAGAACGAGGAAGACCATTGTTGTCTAAACTTCACATCTATAAAGGGAGAATAGAGAATTCTAGTTAGTTGATTTTAATCTTGAATTATTAACCCAAAAATTTAAATTAAGGCTAGGATCCATATTTTCGATTCGAACTATGAAGAGGGATGCGGTAATCAAACTCAAATCTATTTTAGGTAGGTAAGGCATTTACCAATTTCAATCTTATGAAACTCCTATATCTTTTGAGATTCATTAAACTATTCAATGACATGCTTAATCTTGATTATGCTCACTCAACTTTTAATTTAACTAAATTTAAACCATATATGGATTTATTAATTATCCTTTAATTAAATTATCAACAAAATCCATAAGAATGTAATTTAGGGTATACATTTTAAATTTCAACAAATTAAACCTTTTATTCAAATCTCAAACAACCCTAAAATTAATATTAATTATTAAGTCCAATTAATAACAAAATTAAGAATTTAGCAACACTTTATGGATATATTAATTATACTATAATTAATAATAAATTAAATTATTAATCATATCCAGAAGGATAATTATAATTAAATTAAGTAAACATTATCCAATTCATAATTATCTCCTAACATTTAGGTCATATCTGATTATCTAATATTACCAAAAATCGGATTATGACAGATTTAATAACAGATAATTACCAAATATAACCAAATAAATCAAGTTAGGTAAGAAAATCCGAAATCAGGATCTAGCATACGAACACGCCAAGTTGAAGGACCAACCTGCCATGTTGCAGTCTAACACATCGAATCCAAAGAAACAACTTGAAGAGTTCGAAGAACCGAATGACGATTCTGTTTTTTCATCCTTGTTCAAGTTCATATTAGTATCAATTCAATAGAAAACTAAACCAGGCTCTGATACCACTGATGGGTTTTGAGCAAAACATACAATCCTATGTGCGCATGCAACCCTAATTGAAGATCTACATTTTCTCTAATTGAACATACAATAATGAACAACAAAGTATAAACCCTAGATCCTTAGTGTATAATCAAAAATCACATAAAAATGGTTATAATACATACCTTTAAGATTGTTATTGTAAGCAATCTTGAATCCTTGCTTGAAATACCTTTGGTAGCAAGCGCCACAAGTGTCGCGCCTCTAATGGTTCACAGACAAACTCAAGAAACCAAGGAGTACTATATAGAGAGAGGATGAGAACAAAATTTCGCCCAAGGCACTTAGAATGAAGGGTTAGGCTGAAATTTATGCCTAAGGAGGGTCTATATATGTGTAAGGAATGTTTTGGATAAGGCAGATGCATCCAAGATAACCCTAATCCTTTAACTTCCTCCCTAAGGCATCCAAGGCACCCTTAATGCCCAAGGAAACCCTAGAGACACTCTAGATTTCGTTCTCCCCCCCCCCCCCCCCCCACTTTAGGGAGGTTCTAGAATTGCCTTATTGTAGCATCCAAAAATTTTTAGCCAAATTTAAACTTTTTCAACCATAAAAACAAATAGTGTTTTACAAAAATGTTTTCAAAATATTATTCATCAGAGTGCCCTAGAAATATGATCATATGGATGATGAGCGGTACGGTAAAGCCTTCGCCTTGCCACGATCTCCAGAAGTACCTGAAATGATAAACTGAAACTGTAAGCCCGAGGGCTTAGTGAGCTACCCCCAAAATACCAATACCATA